CTCTAGTTTCTGTAGAGGCTCCATTTTAAAGTTGATGAATGGAAACTCCCCAGAGAATCTTCTTTATTTGTACAATTTAGGATTTTCAGATTTTTAGAATTCTTTTAAGTTGTTTTACCCGATAAAAGGGGTAACTCCAGCCTCGTTTGCTAATTATTTCATGTTCATTCATCTAGAAGTCCAGCTGTAATGTTTTGTCTATCGCTAGGCATGCAGAAAAAGATGTAAGGTGTATCTTCACAGAACTCAGGAGAGGGTGAGACAGGGTTGGGATGTGTTGAAACAGCAACACATGTTCTCAGGTGGCTGGGTGTGCTGTGGAGAGTCAGAGGAAGGAGGAACCAACTTTCTGAGATGAGCATGAAAGTTACAGAGGATTCATCATTTATCCTGAGCCCTAAAAAAATGAGAAATTTGTCCTGACGGGTGTGGCTCAGTTGGTTGGGCATCATCTGCAAACTGAAAGGTCGCTGGTTTGCTTTCCAGTCAGGGCACATGCCTGGGTTGCAGAGCGGAATGTTTCTCTCTTGCATTGGTGTTTCTCTCCCTCTCTTTTTCTCTCCCTTCTGCTCTCTCTAAAAATAAATGAATAAAATCTCTTTTAAAATTGAGGCATTCAAGGAACCTTAGATGGCGAAGCAGGGACAAAGCAACAGAGTTTGTGCAAAAGCACCTGTTTTGGGAATGGCGTGAAGTGCTAAAGGTTTACCCGGGAACGTAGCAGAAGGGAGGCTGGGGAAGTTGGTGTGCAGCTGGGGTCCAGCTTGACCATTTGGGTATTAGAACAGTAGAAGTTTGAAGGAAGTCATATCATGAGACTGATGTTTTAGAAAGATGGTTTTAAAAGAATTTTATTAAGGAAAGCCTGAACATCTAAAAATGGACAGGGTAGTATCATGAGACTATAGTATCATTACCACATGTTTCAGTACTTTCACATTCTTCTTTTTCCTCTCTGATTTACCTTTTGATTTGCTGGAGTATTGTAAAGGAAATTCCAGAGGTCATATCACTGCCCCCTGAAATACTTTAGTATATAAAGGGAATTGTTAAAACATACTCACTATATTAATATCATACCAAGAAGTTTACACTTACTTCTTAGTATCTTAAAATATCTAATAATATGAACATATTATTTCCCCTTGTTACTTCAAAACAAAAACATTTTTTTGTTGATTTGATTGAGTTGGGATTTGAAAAAGGCCTACACAATGTATATCATTGAAAAACTCTAAAATCTCTCTCTCTTTTTTAAAAGATTGTATTTATTTTATTTTTTTAGAGAAGGGAAGGGAGGAAGGAAGAGAGGGAGAGAAACATCAGTGTGTGGTGCCTCTCACATGCCCCCTACTCAGGACCCGGCCTGCAACCCAGGCTTGTGCCCTGACTGGGAATCAAACTGCAACCCTTTGGTTTGCAGGCCGGCATTCAATCCACTCAGCCACACCAGCCAGGGCTAAAATCTTTCTTACTCTGTAACCGTTTCTACCCCTAACCTCCCTCTTTTTTCCCCATGATGTTTATTTCATTAAGAAAGCAGATCATTTTTCTTTAGAATTTCATATATTCTGAGTTTGGCTGAGTGTGTGTTGTCTTTTAACATGTTTCTCTATCCCCCCTATCCTTGTAAGCTGGTAGGTAGATACAGAAACATGACTACATTCAGGTTTAATTTGTTTTGTCAAGTAAAGTCGTAACTGGTGTCATGCACAGCCATTACAGCCCATCAGAAAGCACGTAATGTCTAGTTAACTCCCTCACAGTGAGGTTGAGATGATTGTTGAGATTAGGTGTTTTCTGTTTGCTCCATCATTAGGATGTTCCTAACATTTGATGTGTAGGTTTTAGGAGCTGTTGATGATCATTGCCTAGGACCATTAATTTATTAGAGGATGGGAAATAGTAGTTCCTAATTCTATCATTCTTTCTGCCTTTATTAGCAGGAATATAATTGATTCTGAAGTGGGGAGAGACTGCCAAAAGGGAGAGGTAAGGAGCTGAATTCAGGTAGTGTAGGTTTGAGCTCTAATTCCATATTCCACAGAGTTTTGTGACTGATCTGATTTAAGGAGGAAAAAATGGAGTCAAAGATGACTAAAGTTACACTTTTGGGAACCTATATCAATGATGGTGTATTTAGGAAATGGGTCCAGTTTTGAACATGTTACTTATTTGTCATTTCATGAAGATGTCCAGTCTCCCACTAGAAATACAGGCCTGAGGTGAAGAGAAAGATATGGGCTGGACCTAAAAATGAGGGAATTGGAAGAGGATGCAGGATAGTGCTTATTATTACTCTATTCCAAGTAATAATCTAAATGACTGTATTTTTAAAAAATCAGTTTAATAATTTTTATTTAAAAATATTTTTGAAGTAATATTAATTATACACCTGGCAAGATTACATTTAGTCCTCCTCTTTTCCCTTCCTTTCCCCTTTATCATTGCGGAAAATGTAAGTCAGTCCAGGATCTTTAATTCTTCAAGTTTGGAAATAAGATCAACACCAGTCCTTAGCAGTATGATTTTCAAGGGGATGGACAAGAGTGGTAAACTCTGTAGGAGAGAAGGAAAATTGAGTAAGTAGAAGTCATTCAGTACTCTTAAAGAAATTACTTAAAGTAGAGAGGTATCACGTCCTCATTTAGGATGAGGACATAACTTCAGAGCACATTGCAAACTTTCTTAATTCCTCAGCATGTGTCTCGTAACCACAGAGACACGCTCAGGGAAATTCAGATTCCTCACTGTGACACGTCAGTAGTGTTATGTCAGCAACACTTGTCTGATGTCCAGCTGACATCTCTGCATTCTCTAGGTCTTCCCCATTGTCCCTGGCTGGCCTTTATTGCTTCCTGTCATGCAGGGTGCTTCATCTCATGTCGTCCTAGTTTCCTGTTTTCTAGAACACATCCATAGCCTTTTGTCTTTCATTACATGAACAGTTTTTTATGAGTCTGGAGCAGTTGTTTTATAGAAAGTTGTTCAAATTGGAATTAGGTGAATGCTTATTAATGTTAAATCACAAAAAAAACAGTATTTTTTAAATAGTGGAATTAGACAATTTGTTTCCTCATGATTAGATTCAGTGTAATGTATATTAATTACATCAGGATATGTCAGTTTTCTGATTTATTGCTGATTACAAATTATATGATAGCGAGACCCATTTTTCTCTTTTTCAAAATACCTTTTTAAAATAATACATAACCTGAGAATAATAACAAATAATATTTGAAACTGTGAGAATCTCTTGTTCTCCAACAACCTTTCACCTGTTGATTTTAAAATACTTGCATGATTCTTGCCTCAATTAGTTATTGTGGTGGTTGCAAAATACTGATTTTTCTACTTCTTCTATTCTGTGTTTTTCAATCTGTGTCTATAAAGAGCGGCTCTTCCTTCCCCCTTAGTATCAGTACACTCATGGACTCTTTTGTCAGTGTGATATGTCCATTACTGTTACTCACCTTAATGCTAAAATAGTTCCAAATTTATCTAGTGAGAGCCCTTTCAAGCCAGCTCCTGTACCCTTTTGATATTCTCTTGTCAGTTTTGAGCACATCCTTGCTTTCTGGCAGAAGGTGTTCCAGTAATGCCATGAACTTTTTTGCTCCGGCCCTGGCTCTTTTTAGAGGGGAAGAGGGTTTAGAAACCAAGACGTACTTACTGCGATTAGGGTACCATTATTTCTAAGCCCAAAGTATACAGAGCTAAAGGAAAAAGTACATGTTTGTTCAGTCCATCACTACAGGGGCCTCCTCTCATTCTCATTGGTCATTGTTCTATCTTCCTTTTTGTACTCCCATCAACTTTATTTATACTGACTTGTCAGTACTACAATGATCAGAAATTAGCTTCAGATTTGCTGCACCCATCTTACTATAATATTCCAAATTTATATGCAGGTTTGTTGTACTTACAAGATTCACTGGGAGTGTTTAGTATTAAAGTTACTTGGATTAATTCTTTTGTTTTTCTTCTCTGTGGTTATATTATCAATTTGATCAATAGGTTCAGTTATTTATTAATTAGTACCTATTTTATCCCCGCCTCCCAGTCCCTCCATATCTAATTTGAAGTATATTTGATCTTTGGACAATATGGGATTGAACTGCACAGGCCCACTTACACCGTCAGCCCAGCCTTCCGTATTCTCGCATTTCTCATTTGCGGATTCCAACCATGAGAGTCTGTGGATGTGAGGGCCCACTGTGTTTATATTGAACCTATGCCATTTTATATAAAGGACTTGAGCATCCATAGAGCTTTGTATCAGTAGCTGGTGGGGATCATGAAACCAGTCTCCCATGGATACCAAGGCACAGCTGTAAAGTTTTGGGAGATTCAAAGTTATACTCAGGTTTTCAAGTGTGCAGCAGTCGGAGCCCTTAACTCCTGCATTGTTCAAGGATCAATTGTATATAATAACATCAGTTGGAGAGGTGAGGTTTGGGTGCCATCTTTGCTCATTCCATATATAACAGTGAAGTTTAACAGCAAGTTTATGGACATTCTGGGGCCCAAAAATCTTTTTTTTTTTTTTTTTTAACCCTTTGTGTTTGGATTGGTAACTACTTTTTTTTTTTTTTTTTTTTTTTTTTTTAAATGATAACCAAGAAAGTCTGTATAAATTAGTTACTTGGTGTTTGGGGGAATTTTGTAATTCAAATCATGTACAACCCCATTACCACCACCACCACCACCACCACCACCATATATGAGATTTCTGCTTTAGTTCAGCAATGCAAATAGTTTGTGTCCCTCCATCTGTGTTTATCTGCTTTCTTAAATTGAGGCTCATCGTCACTAACACCTATTTGCTAAGTCAGAGGTGTAGGTAATATTAAACAACTTCTGTTTTGGTAAGTAATTTTAAGGAGTTGAGAAAGTTCTAGAGGGAAAGAAACAGTTTCTACCAGATATTGTTAGTATTACTTTTCAAAACCTTTCAAATTACTATGTTAATGAACATTTAAATCTCTTCTATTTTATAGAGACTATCCTTAAATAATGACATATTTGAGGCAAATTCTGACAGCGATCAGCAGAGTGAGACAAAAGAAGAGACTTCTCCAAAAAAGAAAAAGAAAAAATTAAGGCAGAGAGAAGAGAAAAGCCCTGATGATCTGAAGAAGAAAAAAGCAAAGACTGGTAAACTAAAAGAGAAATCCAAGCCAGACCTGGAGAGCTCTGAAATTTCAATTTTTGATTTAAGGACAAAGAAAAGAATTTCCGAAGCCAAAGAAGAATTAAAGGAATCCAAAAAGTCCAAAAGAGATGATATAAAAGAAACTAAGGAATTAAAGAAAGTTAAAAAGGGTGAAATAAGAGATTTAAAAAGTAAAATAAAAGACGATTCCAAAGAAAACAGAAAAACAAAAAAAGAGAAACTTCTTGAATCTCAGTTGGAATCTGAATCAGGCATACTTAATGACTCTCCCTTTCAGGAAGGGGAGAGTGAAGATTTACAGTCTGACAACAGAGAGGAGAAACTGAAAATTAAAAGTGGAAAAGACAAAGCAGGGCCAGACATTCTAGATAAACAGCAGGATGGCTCTGGAAGTGCTGATGAGGATGCTGATGTCAGAGGAAAAAGAAGCAAAAAGAAACCCAGAAAAGCCGAGGAACTTAAAGAGAACAAAAAGCTAGAAAACAAGAACCTTTCTTCAGAGAAGAAAAATGCACATAAAAAGCAAAGGAATCAAGAGAAAAGCAGAAGTACCACGGAGTCAGATATTCTGACACACGCATTTTCCCATACACAAAAGAGCTCAAGGCTGGGTGAGGAAGAGAGAGGCGGCCTATCAACTGACTTGGCCAGGGAAGTGAGTACTAGGGGGATTGGTTGAAGGACTGCGTGTTAAAATCTTACAGGATAAGGAACGTTCCTATCCAGCTAGCACTCTTTCGAGTAGTCCAAGACTTGCACAAATAATGAGAAAACAGTAAAACTGTAAGAACAGTTTTTCTCCCATTAAGCCTTTTCTTGCAAAAATATATTTAGCTTATCCCCTTATAAAAATTGTTTTATATGTGTTTTCCACATAAATGTTTTATAAGCATTTTCCACAGTATAAAAATATTCATATATGTATTGATACATGCAGTATTTATGAAGGGCTATAAAAACAGCAATTGTTTTCATCCATTATTCCCAGTTTTGTAGATTTAAGGAAATCATTTTCAAGAGAGAAAGAGCTGTGTAGACAAAGATATTTATGGCAGTGTTATCATAAAACTAATACGAGTCTAACTGTTTAGCCATGAGGGAAATGGTTAAGAAAATGTTGCATCAACTTGAAACCTATTATGTATCCATGGAAATAATTAGGAGGTCAATGTAGCCAAGTTGAAAGAGTTTACAAAAGTTTATGAACACAGTCGTGTAAAAATACGTAATGTAAATTTAAAAAATGAATTTTAAACAAATTATCTGCAAAATTAGCTCAGAAGGCAGAATGTGCAGAAATAAAAAGTCGTGTTTGGTTAGTAGGACTGTAGGTTATATTTTTTGGCATTTTCTTTATTTTTAAAGATTTTATTTTAAAAAAATTTTTTTAAGACTTTATTTATTTTTCAACAGAGAGAAAGAGAGGGAGAGAAACATCAATATGTGGTTGCCTCTCACGCCCCCAACTGGGGACCCGGCCTGCAACCCAGGCATGTGCCCTGAATGGGAATCAAACTGGCGACCCTTTGGTTTGCAGGCCAGTGTTCAGTCCCCTTAACCACACCAGCCAGGGCTAAAGATTTTCTTTATTTTGTAGAGGTGGGGAAAGGAGGGAGAAAGAGAGGGAGAGAGACAACAATGTGTGAGAGAAACATTGGCTGGTTACCCCTTGTGCCTCTGCACCCAGAGGGTCTGGCCCGCTCCCAGGCATGTGCCCTGACCAGGAACTGAACTGGCAGACTTTCAGTTTGAGGGATGATGTCCAACCCACTGAGCCACACTGGTCACTGCTAGAATTTTCTTTATTTTTAGTAATAAAAAATTCTTAACAGAGTTCAGGAAATTGGTATTGGTTTTGAATTTCATGTTTTATGAATTATGGTTGAGTAATAATCTCGATTGAGGAAGCAGTTGATATGAAAATTATTTAATTGTCAGTAGTCAGGTGCCATGGTACAGAAAGGTGTCAGGTGGCATCAGCTCTTATGTTTTTGGGTCTTACATGTGTTTCTTTCAGGAGAAAGAGACCAAAAAAAACGAACCCAAAGAAAAATACCAGAGAAGGCATGATTTGGACAAGGAAGAAAAAGGCCGCAAAGAGCCAAAAGGAATAAAGAGTGAGTGTTAATACTGCTATTTACCATTGCCATCCTTTATTCAAGAAATTTAATTTACTGTGAGACAGTCTGTTTTCTAACCTGCAATGTCCCTGAACTGGAAAATTTCTTTTTTTAATTATTATTATTATTTTTTTTTTTTTTTTTAGAGATTTTATTTACTTATTTTTAGAGAAAGGGGAAGGGAGGGAGAAGAACAGGAAAAGAAACATCAATTCATGAGGGAAAATCAACCTGTTGCCTCTCATACACCCCGAACCAGGGACCTGGACCACAACCTAAGCATGTGCCCTGACTGGGAGTTGGACTATACCTTTCAGTTTGTGGGTCGACGCCCAGCCCACTGAGTTACACCAGTCAGGGCTAATTATTACTTTCTTTAATCATTTATTATTTTTCAGTTAAAGTTGACATACAGTATTGTATTAGTTTCAGGTGTACACCCCAGTGATTAGACCTTACATAACCTACTAAGTAATCATCCCAATAAATCTTGTACCCATGTAACAGCATATATAATTATTAGAATATTATTATTCCCTATGCTTTACTTTATATCCCCATGACTATGTAACAGCCAATTTGTACTTCTTAATCCCTTCACCTTTTTTACTCATTCCCTACATCTGGCAGCCTTCAAGGTGTTTTTTGTATCTGTGAGTCCATTTCTGTTCTGCTTGTTCATTTATTTTGTTTTTTAATATTCAATTGTTGATAGACATGTATTTATTGTCACTTTATTGTTCACATTTTTTATCTTCATCTCTTCTTCAAGAAGACTCTAACATTTTATGTAGTACTGGTTTGGTGATAACAAACGCCTTTTTCTTGTCTGGGAAGCTCTTTATCTGTCCTTTCATTCTTAGTGATAGCTTTGCTGGGTAGAGTAGTCTTGGTTGTAGGTCCTTCCTGTTTATCCCTTTAACTATTTCTTGCCACTCTCTTCTGTCCTGCAAAGTTTCTGTTGATAAACTAGCTAACAGTCTTATGGGTGCTCCCTTGTAGGTAACTAACTGCTTTTCTCTTGAGGCATTTGAGGATTCTCTCTTTATCTTTAACTTTTGGTGTTTTAATTATGATGTGTCTTGGTTTGGGCCTCTTTGAGTTCATCTTGTCTGAGACTCTGTGCTTCCTGGACTTGTCAGTTTCCTTACCACGTTACAGAAATTTCCCATCATTGTTTTTTCAAATAGGTTTTCAGTTTCTTGCTCTCTCTCTCCTTTTTTCCAGCAACCCTGTGATGCGAATGTTGATGTACTTGAAGTTGTCCCAGAAGCTCTTAATACTATCTTTGTTTTTTCAGATTCTTTTTTCTTTTTGCTGTTGGGATTAGTTGTGTTGGGTTTTTTTTGTTTTGTTTTGTTTTTTTTTTTTTTTTTTTTTTTTGCTTCTTTATATTCCAAATTAACTGGTTTGATTCTTGGCTTCATCCACTCTACTGTTGATTCCCTGTAAATTGTTCTTTATTTCAATTCTTTGTTTCTGACTGGATTTTTTTTTTATGCTGTTGACATCCTCACTAAGTTCCTTGAGCATCTTATCACCAGTGTTCTGAACTCTGCATCTAGTAGATTCTTGTTTCCATTTTATTTAGTTCTTTTTCTGGAGATTTCTCCTGTACTTTCATTGAGGGTCTGTTTCTTTGTTTCCAGGTTTTGGTTGCTTCCCTGTGTTTATTCCTATGTATTATTTAGAGCTACTCTGTCTTCTGGACTTGGAAGAGTGGCCTTTTGTATGTAGTGTGTGTCCTATAAAGCCAATGGCCCAGCCTCCCCAGTCACCTGAGCTGGATGCTCCAGCTGCACCCCTGTGTAGGCTATGTGCACTGTCCTGTTGTAGTTGAGCCTTGATTGCTGTTGGAATCACTGGGAGGTGTTGACCCCCAGGGTGATTTGCTGCGAGAACCACCTGCAACTACAAGGAGGAGCTGCTATGTAGGAGTCATCCCTGTGGAACAGGACTTGCGTCAGTGGGGCTTTGGGGCACACCGAGTTTGCCTCTTGAGTGTCATTCACAGAGGTGGGAGGGATGTAATCCAGCATGGTCTGAAACTATCCACCAGCTGCAGTGGCTCTGGAGTCTCCCAGGAGGTGCAAGGTTAGCCACTGCCTGTGACCTGCCTGGGGCTACCTGGCTTGAGCTACAGAGCGATCTTCATTTGGTTGCTACTTACACTGGGCTTGGAGGTGCCCATGAGAAGCCGAGCTGTGAACCATGGCCAGATGCTGTTTGTGCCAGGCCTGGGGCCATTTAGCAAGAGGTATGGGGTATGCAGAGGCCAGATGCTGCTTGTTTGAGAGACTTTAGGAAAATCTGAAGAAAGAGACAAGAGAGACCATCTGTATGGAAAAGCCACTAGAAACAGCTTGGGTGGATCCTGCAAGTTGAGTGGGGAGGGGTCTCGGAATCACCAGGGCAGAGTAAGTGTTGCCCAGGTTAATGAAGACTCAAGTGTGGTGCCCACCTGCCATCTCTGTGGGGGAGGGGCTCAGAATAGGAACAGTGGCCTCTGCCCGTACTTCTGTCTGGCAGAAAGCTGCCCCCCTCAGTTCTCACTCTGACCAGACAATGCAGTTCCTCCCCTTATGTCCCTAGTGCCTTTCAAGTTGCTCCCCCAGTGCTAGAGCTCAGAGCAAGTGAGTCCAAGTAAGTCCATGCACAGGCCCAGTGAGAGGAAAACCTGGGACTCCAGAAGCCCTCCATCTCAGTCAGCCACAATCCCTGCTGGTTTTTCCAGCCAAAAGTTATGGGGCTTCTCTTCCTGACTCTAGAACCCCCAACTGAGAGGCCTGGTGTGGAGCAGAGACCCCTTCCTCCTCAGGTGGGGACCTCTGCAGCTGAGATACTCTTCTCCATTTTTATCCACCATGTGTAGGTGTGGGATCAGCCTGTTCTGCATCTCCTTCCCCTCTAGCAATCTCTGTGGTTTCCTCTCTAAATCTCTAGCTGTTGGACTTTCATTTAGCTAGATTTCAGGCAGTTCTGAATGATGGTGGTTCTGTAGTGTAGCTGTAATTTTGATGTGGTTGTGGGAGGATTCAATTACCATGTTTACCGTTGTCCTCCTGTTGACCAGAAGTTCCAGAAACGCCTCAAAACTGCAGAACTTCATTCACTGGGCAGTTTAGAACCCTGTGCTGCTTTTGTGTCACCAGTTATCTTAGTTTATTATATAATAGCTTTTGTTGTTTGTAACATTTTCCCCTCCTGCCCACCATGCTTTCTCTCCTTTTGTATATGATGATGGAGTAATTAGAGACAGGAAATTATCTGTGGCAGAAAAGGCGGACGCCAGGTGAGACAGACCACTGTTTATTGTGTTTACTGTTTATACAAACATAATGTTGAATATACATTTTGGATTACATTAATATATACCATAACACATGCACTACTAGGGCAAGTAATTTTTAGAATACCCCTTATCACAGTGTTTCAATAAGCCCCAGAGGGTATTTTAGTTTATGCACCAGCCGTACTTGGAAAGCACACTTACATGGGAAGCAGTGATTCCTGAAGACAGATTGTTCCTCCAAGTTTTCTCCCAAAAGCTGTATGTAACTGAGGTAGTATTAAAAGTAGATTCTGGTTTTATACTTTGTCTAGGACTTCAGACTAAGTAGCAGCAGAGTGGAAGCTAGGAAGGAGCAACTGTTGTTTCGATGGATCATGCATTAAGTGACTATAATTATTTTCTTCGAAGAGTGAGTGAAGATTCAAAATACTCTATAATTGGAGTATTTACTTAATTCTTCCCCCTACTATCTTACATGTCAGTATCAGGTACATTTTTACTGTGAACATACTGTGTTGAACAACTACTCATTCCATTTATAGTGATACTTACTGGGAGTCTGATTTTCAGTATCCTCTGCTAATAACACTGACCAGCTATGTACCCCGAGTTTTAATAGAATTCTTCCTAATTAGGTTCTGTTCTTCCCTTTTTGGGGGTTATTATGTCAGATCTAGTGCTTTGCCAGTCGTCTTTTCACTTTTTAAGTGGAGTTTCACATGTATCAAGTAGTCTTACCAGGTACACTGTCAACATTCCGGCATGGTAGCCTACCATTTTCCACTCACCCCAGGGATCTTTTGTGTCCAAGGTTAGTTAGCTTCAGGATATAGCTGTAGGCAGTTGTCATAGCAGGCCAGCTGATGGCATGACTGGGATTATTCTGTCTTCAGTAGGCCTTTATGAAAACTAGGAGTGGTTCACAACACTAGGGCCAGCCATTCCTTTTGGATAGAAACCCTTTCTAAATATAGAGCAGCCAGTAGAAAGACCATTTGAAACTTCTCCATGGCTTTGATGTAGTCATGCTTTACAACCATGGCAGGTATTAATAAAAGTTAAGAATATACCAGTTGCAGGTCCTGGCCAGGTAGCTCAGCTGTTTAGAGTGTCATCCCACTATGCCAGGGTTGTGGGTTCAATGCCAGGTCAGGGCACACAGAAGAATCAACCAGTGAATGCATAAGTAAGTGGAAAAACAAATCGATGTTTCTCTCTCTATCCCCCTCTCTCCCCTCACTCCCTACTTTCCCTTGCTCGCTCTTAAAAAAAAAAAAAATCAACATGGAATTTTAAAAAAAGATGCCCTGGCTGGGCAGCTCAGTTGGTTAGAGTATCATCCTGTACACCAAAAGGTCGTGGGTTCAGTCCTCAGTTGGGGCACATGTGGGAGGCAACCAATAGATGTTTATCTCTCACATTGATGTTTGTTTTCTTTCTCTCTTCCTCTCTCTCTAAAATCAATAAAAACATGTCCTCGGGTGAGGATTAAAGAAAGGAAAAGGAAGAAAACATCTGTTTCTTTAATACAACCCCAGATTTTCTTCTGATTACAACAGAAATTTGTGGTCCCTGTTCCTTATCGATTTTCTTTTTCTCACTAGCATTTAAGGAAATTAGAAATGCATTCGATTTCTTTAAATTAACTCCAGAAGAAAAAAATGATTTCCCTGAGAGTAATCAGAAAAGAGAAGAAATAGCACTGGATTGTAATTTCACAGAAGATCACAAAGCCAAGGAAAACAAACAGTTATTTAAAGAAAGGAGAAGCACAAGAGATGAGACTGACACTTGGGCATATATAGCTGCAGAAGGTGATCAAGAAGTCCTCGATGGTGCATGCCAAACCAACGAGAATTCTGGTGAGTGTGTTTGCAGTCAGTTTGCATATTTTTCAGAGAAATATGTTTTACTCACCTCATTTTTTTCCAGTGTAACTCTAGATCAAAAAAATAATGGCATAGACAGTTTTGTTTCAGTCTCCTAAACAAACAACTTTTTATGTTGAAGACTTAGGTCATTCTGTGGTTTCTAAATTGACCACACAAATATTTTGAGCCCCTGTGATGTTCTCAGCATATTTAAAAGTTTTAAAGATTTTAGGTGGTCTGCCTTTCCCACTATTGCCAAGTAGCCTGATTATATATCCTAAAGGATTTCTTTCAGGAAGTTAACAAATGCATACTTCCTTGTATTCTGTCCTTTTAACTTTCAGTAAATGACATTTCCTAAGTGAGACCGTTGTAAATGCCATCCCAGAGTTGTTGGGATCAGCCATAGAAGGAGAGCCGTGTGTGGAATATTGGGCACACACTGGATGTGAGGCTGAAAGAAAGAATGCATATATATATACACACACATACATATATATATGTATGTATATACACATACATATATATGTGTGTGTGTGTGTGTGTGTATATATATGTATGTATGTATGTATTTATAACCAGGGCAGAATAAACATCGTTAATGTGATAAAACTGTATAATTTGTGAATCTTGAAGCAATTGAAGAGAATTGTTTACAATAATTGTAAAACTTTACAAGTTTCTGAATATGTGGCAGAGTGGATAGTCTGGGTGACCTAGTGTAAAACCACTAGGCCCTGGGCATCAGTTAAATCATGTTTTTTGATGCACTGCTAAGCTTGCAGGAAACTGGGACAATTGCTAGGACCAATAGACAAGGGGAAGGAAGAATTGTGTTGCCCAGAGGCCAGATGTCAAATAGCAGCTCTGCTGTTGGGGATGCTAGGCAATGAGGACACATGCAGTAGATGTTGGTGTGCTCCTTTGGGCATCCCTGGGTGATATATGAACCACTTGTTACACGAAGGGCAGAGAGAGACTGAAGAAACACAGTCTCCCCAGGTTGGTAGGTGGCAGGTGGAATAAGCTAGGGAACTTACATACCAGCTTCATTTTTAGTGATAACTGGACAAGTAGATCTCCACGCTGCCCACCAAGGCTTAAAGGTTTATAGAAAAGACTTAATGGGGTTCAGTCACACATTCAGTCCAGGTGGTCTCACAGTACCTTTCTCTCTCAAGGCTGCATCCCTGAAATGACTGCCACTGTGGGAGTGGTGGTCAGGACATACAGGGAGGTGTGACGAGCCTCCAGTTGCTTGCATCTGGTTCACTGCTCAACCGGTGGTCACATCCTCTGGATGACCTCCTCCAGCACTACACCCCTTCTGACTGACCCTCACAATGTTACATGCCTCCTCTTCCATGATGTCCTGGGCTGTCAGCATGGGGTTTCACTAGCATGGAACTTGTTTGGTGGCTCTCTAGTTGCATTCAAGGCAAACACCACAGCATCAGTACAGGCACATGCAAGAGAAAGCAGGTTAAGGTATTGATTCCCAAAGTAAGTAGTAATGTTTTCCCAGCAAGAGCCCCAAGATCAGAACCAGTGATTTATTAAGTCCACTAGGCGGGGGGTCACGTTCATTCAGGGCATTCACTTGCGCCTTCATGTAAACTAATGAAGGTGATACATTAGCTGACTCATGGTATGAACACATTCTGTTTGAACAATGACATGGGTACCCCCCTGTGAGGCAGTAATTATGTCCAAGGCCATCCTATTTTGGAGGACAGCGTTCTTACTAGGGACATTTCAGTGTTTAGTGAAGACAGGTTTTGTCAGCTAACATTCAAGGCTTGCTGGGTGAGTTTATTAAGGGCTTCCTTATGTGTCCTAACACCTTCCAGGGCAACAGAGGGAACAAAAATGGAGACCGAATGATCACACCAGCAGAGAGGAGAGGGGGGTTGGCAACTTTAGGAACCTGATCAGGACATGCATACCATCCATGTGGCTGGGGGATGCAATATGAGGAGAGGGACTGGGAACGGGACACGCCAGATCAGGATCCCCAGCTCATCCTTTCAGTGATGTGTGTTTCGTTCTAGGAGATTGTGTAGGTCTCACTGTGGTGCGTCAAGCAAGACAAGCAAGCAAGCTCATCCTGGTGGGAGGTCCCATTGCAAATTCCTGTAAATGACCCCTCTCCCAGGCTTGAAGAGCTCCGTGTTTTCAGCAGCATGGCACAATGGTCCACAGTGGGAGTCAAGGCAATGGCTGTCTCTCGTGACTTATGTCCCTTTATAGCATTAGGTGCCTCAACATGGGTCCTTAGTCTGGTATATGAAAGCCTGGGGCAGTACTTTAGTCCGCCTGTCCAAGATGGTTTACCTGTTAGTAATATAATCTGTGTCTTTAATACTCCTTCTTCCTTTCTACCATCCCCCACAAGGGGTATGGGCCTCCACTCAGTGTCATGTTCTTTCACCCAGTCTAGCGTATCAAGACCTCTGAATCGTGACCCCAGTCACTGTCCAACAAGGGTATCTGTAGATGCTACTCAATTTCTCTAACCCTTTAATGAAGTCAGCCTGGTTTGCATTGTGTCAGGGGATAACTTGGATATGGCCAGACATCATATCATGGTATTTAGACCCCCTCAACTTAGACAAAGGGGCTGATACAGTGAATGTGCCAATCCCTCACCAGTCCCTGTAGGTGGACATTGTTTAATGCTGTCACTGCATTAAAAAGTCACGGTACTTCAGGGGCAATACTCCATCCCACCCAAGCACTATGGTAGCTGCTTCTATGCACCCATCTGCTGGATCTACTGAAGTTGCTAGGGCTTGTGCCCAGCCAGGGCCTCACCTTCCTGGTTGCCTGGGTCTGTCAACACTTCATGAGCTGGGATGTGGAAAAGTAAAGCGCCTCAGCCTCTTGCAGGGGGACCCAAATGTCTTTCCACTTGTCTTGACCCCACAGGGGTTCACTCTTGATCATTTATCCTGTCCAGGCTGTAGGGTCAGTCACTTTAGAACAGCCCACTTTTCAATGCAAAGGGTTCATTGCCAGGCCTCCTAACTGATCACCAGCCAAATACGGACTTCAGCCCACTGACTACTCTAGGTCCTCCCTGTTTCCGTGAAGATGGTGCATGTTAGGTTGAATAACAGCTGTAGCCCATGAAGACAGGTTGCCCGACTAGACTATCCATGTACCAGGCATCAGCAGGAATCCTATTTCCTTTCAAGGCCACTGTGTAAAACTATAGCAGGAGATACAGCACTTAACTGGGCATGGAGAAGGCACATTAGCTGGACAGACACCTCAGAGTCAGGCCCTTGTGGATATAAAAACCAGATACAGATTCATGGGGAGAGTGAGTACTTCATTTGTAGCTCTGTGTTCTGTTACTGAGCAGTCCTGTAAATGAGATGGCATGTCTCAGTTTATATGGCCTCACTTCTGTCCTGCTCCCCAGTGCTTCCTGTGGTATCCCGTAGTTGTGGAAGAAGGTCCCACAGCGGACTCAAATGTGGCTTGGCACAAATGTGGCTCTTCACTTTCCTCGTCAGTGACAGGTGTCTCCTCACAGAGTGTTAGCTAGTTTTTCTATTCAGAGAGGGAGGTAGTATGAGTTCTGATACTCAAAGTCACATAGCTGACAGGAGGCTGGTGTCCAGATCCAGGTGTGTTGCTCGGAGGCTGTGGTGTCCTGTCTCCATGCTCAGAGGTGACAAAGAGCAGTGCTGATTCCAACAAGGTTAACTGCTTAACATCTGTGTTGTTTGTGGAGTTGGTTTTAGGTGAAAATCCTTTAACTCTTATCATCAGATATTTGTACTTTTCAGTCATTCTGAATTACTCCCAAGTGAGTTTTGCTCAAGGCGCACTTACTACACTGTGCATAGGGGATGAGCCGTCCATCCTAGTACCGATGGGTGCTTGAATCAGATCGTTGAGACCAGTGTTTGCTTTGCATTGCAAGCAGAGAGACCTGGAGGCTAGCAGCAGAAAGGGCTTTTAGGAAGAGAAGCAGAATCTGGAAGGATCAATGGGCAATTTTATTTACACACAGGTCTAGGTTACACATTTCCAGTGACTTTACCTACATAAAGGATTGAAAGCAATATATGTCCCAAAAAGAAGAATGGCCAAAGAAACGTTAGCAATTCCTCTAACAGAATCCCTATGGTTTCTCTCCTCCTTTGAGCTATTTAATCTTGCTTGTACTTAAAATTCATATTCTACTACTTTATTGTTATAGGTTACCAATTTATCTTTATGCCTTTGAAACACTGTAACTTCTAATTACAGATGGTTCATGTTATTTCCCAAAGAAAATCAGAAATTTCATTAAAGACTCAGTTACATAATGATGAATGTTAAAGGTGTATATAAAATTTGGGGTAAGGATGTGAAGGTGATCTGGCTGCACCATCATCCCATTGATCACCAGAGTTGATTCTGCTGATCTGGCAAGCTGGGCAGGTGTCCCCTTACTCCCTCACCGATCCATATGAGTCCCTCCCAAAGCTGTGCGCTCAGTCAAAGAGGACTTCCCAACTAGAGGAAAGGGGACCGGTCTTTGGTCAAGGGTATACGAGTAGATGTGCTCCCCCGCTAGAACCTCCAAACAAGCTATCAAGGTCCATTTATAGAACATAGAGGAGTCAAACTTCTAGGACTCCAGACACATCCAAATGAGGCACTGCACATGGCAGTCTGCCTTTCTTTAAAAAAATAAAATAAAACTTAATTTTGGTTAAGATGCCACCAATTTAATGAAGTGACATTGTATTTTTTTATAGTACAAAAAAAGTATCTTGAGGCCCTTCTGTGTTACAGACAGCCGACAGCAGATTTTGAGTCTGGGCATGGACCTGCAGCTGGAATGGATGAAACTAGAAGATTTTCAAAAGCATCTTGATGGGGAAGATGAGAACTTTTCTGCAACAGATGTCATTCCAAGTAGTGAGTAGTTTGGGAATTATGGGAATCCTTTTCACGAATCTAGATACTGAAACCTAATTTATCTTTTTTTTCATTTTAGATTTATTGAGGGATGCTGTGAAAAATGGGGATTATATTACTGTGAAGATTGCACTTAATTCAAATGAAGAATATAACCTGGACCAAGAGGTAGTAAATATATCTTTGTAAAATCTCTTGAAAGGAAGATGAAAAATAGCTCTTCTAAAACAATTGTTGTACTTTAAATCCGAAAGTTACTCATTTTCACGTTATTAAATTCAAACATTGTAAAAAGCAGAATATAGACAATTTTAGCCCCAGTATTCCCACCCCTACAATGATGATGTGGTTTAGCTGTGTTTCTGATGTGGTCTGTGGTCTCTGATGTCATGAGCGTGTTTTGTGTAATTGCATTTCAATGGAGCTGCCTATTAACAGCAACTGCCTGGCTTCCCATTGTTGCTGGGTGTTTAATACTCATTCATGAAGATTTTTCATGTGGAAGCATGCCAACCCTTTTTTCCTGGACTTTAGGTCTTGTTATTTTAATCTTTTATTGCGTAGAAAAGATTTTTATATTTTCCTCTCTCACTTTCTTGCTGTAGTTGCAGATTTTTTAGGTTTAAGCCTTTGGGATTACACTTCAAAAAAATTACTGGAATTTTGATTAAAATTGCATGAAATACATAAATCAATTTGGCTGAGAATTGACTTTTTTACATTTTGAGTCTTTGATCTAGGAGCATGGTAACTCTTCATTTATTCCCTTAAGCAAAGTTTTTTGGGTTTTTCATAGTTATTATATATTTATTTTAGGTGTATTCCTAAATGTGTTATAATTTTTTAATTATCTTACTAAGATCATTGGAATTTTTTTCCTCCCATATTTTGTTTTCTAACTGGTTCTTACATATGTGTGGTAAAGCTATTGATTTCTGTGTGTATGTGTGTCTCCAGCCACTTTGAGAAAATTCTTGTACTGAGATAATTTTTAAGTTATTTGCCTTGGGTTTTGTAAGTAGGGAGTTTGATCATCTGCTAAAAATAGCTACTTTGTTTCCCTTTTTTCCAATAACATTTCTTTCTCTAGTCTTGTGAAATTGGTGACATTTTGAACAACAGCAGTGATAAGCGCTATCTGTTCTGTTCTTGGTCTGAATGGGACTTTCCCTGGGGGTCTTGGTGTCAGATTTGATTTCTGTCTTGGTGGTGGTGTCCTGTGGATAGCCTTTACCTCCTTCACTCTACTTTTTTTTTAGCTGCTTAAGCTTTTATCAGGGATGCATGTTGGTTTTTATCAGATGCTTTTTTGTTCACTTTAATACTTTTATAGCTTGACCTTTATTAAAAGCATGGTAGCTGCAGGGAACTTTCTGTTTTGTTCTTTTTGGTTTTTTTTTAATTTAAAGGAAAAATTTATTGAAGATCTTAAAAACAATTCCTAAAAGATTGACTTTTCCAGAAAACTATAGCGACACAATGCATTGTGTCTATCATTAAAACGTACATTAAACATAAATACAAAAACCATAAAACAAGCCACCACTCTAAAGCATTCTGAGCAAAGATAAAATGCCTATGGGACAATATGGATGAGTTACAAAGGATGGGCTCTTTAAGTACCAATTTTAAAAAAGGAGCACAAGTGGATGAGTACCCTCATTTAGGTACACTGAATTGAACCTTTGGAATTAGGAATCAGCATTTTGTCAGATAGCATAAACACATATTATGAAAGTGCATAATGTCAAAGAGATAAAACCACCGGCATTCAAAGGCAGCTTTGTCAAGTAGGCAATATAACACTCTACAGTATGACTCCATTGTCCATCAGTACACTGATAGCCATTTAGAGAGGGAAAAGGAGCTAAAACCCCTTTTTATTTTCTCTGTTTAAAATTAAACAGGAAACAAACATCAATTTCTAACTAACATTTTCAAAGTACATCATTTGTACAAGAGAAAGACTAACATCATAAATGTTTACAGATATCCAAACATAACATAAGGAAGCTCCTTACACATCTTTCCAGTGGTACTCAGGAGGAGCCACTTCATAATTGCCGGCATTAAACAAAGTTGTGCAATTTTTGGCTAGGTATTTTAGGAAATCATAAAAATTACTCAATAATAAAGCAAAGTTCCTCTCATTCAGAGTTATATAGGCCAACATCGCTCCAATTTGTAGAAATAATCTCGAGAGATATGGGGCTCTATGCACTTGGGACATGGATGCTTCAGGGGGATACACGAGGATTTAGGATTGCAGCGTACTCCTGTCTCAGGTTTGTGATGTAGCTGAGTACATTGAAGTATTCTTTATCCCTGACATTTCATTAACAGCATATACTCCTTCTTATCTCTCTTCCCTTATAATTTGCATAATCCTCTAGAATGGAATCCACATTCTTGTTGGTAGGAAGATAAAAGAGCTGTCTCTGCCAGGTGATTAAGTCTCAGTCATCACCAAGCCATAGTTTAATTCTTAAGGAATCAACTTTAACTTCAACTCTGTTCATAAATGTTTCCTCATTGTCAGTAGTAACATCTTGTGAAAAGGCTGAGGTGTCCCACTGGTACTGCCAGCATCTCCATTTACAAGTATTTTCTGTTGTTTTCACTTAAACATTTTTCTATCACAAACCAGTCTTCTTGCCTGGGTCAGCCCCTCTCATTTTCCCCTCTGCGTATGTTCCTATCTTTCTGAAGTTCTCACTGTTTTGCAGATTGTCGTCCATGAATTTGAGCACTCTGCTTTCTGGAACCCATACATTCCAATTTTTGTTCCAACCACTGTAATGTATAAAGTATTTCAACTTGTTTGTACCTTATTGCAACCTTTACTCATTTTATCTCATAAAGAGGCCCCTGTAAGCGCAGCACTCGCTCACCATCCTGGAATGTGGGCTTAAGGTCCTACTTTGGTGCCACTTACAGGGATTCAGAGCCTCCTCTTCCTCCTCCTACCACCCTGACTGTTGCCCCCTAGTCATCCCACCCCATCCAGTTCTTTTTCGGACATCTGAAGAGTAACTTTCTAAAGTTAGATTTTTCCAAATGAGAGGAAGTAGTTATACTTACTTCAGTTTGAGTGTATCCTCTTCAGTTGATCTAAAAACGCAACTGCTAGAAATAATTTTTCTTACCTTGTGTTTCCTCAGGTTACTCATAACAGCAAATTCTGCTGGATTTTCAGATTATAACCAAATTAACTCATAATATTGGAATTTGGTTGCATCAAATGGTATTTAATTAATGGTTTGGTTTTCTCATATGTGTTCATTTCAACTAGTAATGGGATATATGTTAGCTAATAGTTATCTTTTTATTATTCATCAGCTTTATATAATTTTATCTTATTCAAAGCCGTTTGGTGGTGGTTGTTTTTTTACTGAATTTTGCATATCAGCGTCCTGTTTCCTACTCATGATTCTTCCTTATCCTTAAAACAATCAAACTCTTACTTCCCAGTAGTTAGCAAAGGTTGTCTAACCTAGATAACGTTCATTTCAGTGTATCCTCAGTACAGTGGGCTTAGCTGTCCAGTCATTATTTCTAGTCTTACATCTTTGGGCCAACTAGATGAATGTAATCAACATATGAGTTTTACCTAGAATGCAAGGAAACTTTTAGACCTGAAATTTGAGATAAATAAGTACCTTCGCCATTTAGAAAGCACCAAGATTCATGCACATCCAAATGGCAAATGGACATATGAAAAGATGTTCAGTGTCACTAATCATCAGAGAAATACAAATTAAAACCACAGTGAGATACCATCTCATACCCGTCAGAATGGCTACCATCAATAAACCAATAGACATCAAGTGGTGGTGAGGGTGTGAAGAAAGGGGAACCCTTTTGCACTGTTGGCGGAAATACAGACCGGTGCAGCCACTGTGAAAGCAGTATGGACTTACCTCAAAAAATTAAAAATGATAGTGCCTTACAACCCAACGATTCTACTTCTGGGAATTTATCTGAAGAAACCCAAAACATTAATTTGAAAGAACATAAGCACCCCTATGTTCATTGCAGCGTTATTTACAATTGCCAAGATTTGGAAACAGCCAAGTGCCCATCAGTGGATGAGTAGTTTAAACAGCTGTGGGACATTTACACAATGGAATACTACTCAGCTATAAAAAAGAAGAAAATTTTACCCTTTGCAACAGCATGGATGGACCTGGAGAACATTATGCTAAGTGAAATAAGCCAGTCAGAGAAAGACAAGTATCATGATTCCACGCATATGCAGATCTAATGAATAAACAACTAATAAGCAAAATAGAAAGACTCATAGATAGCAGATGACAGCTCTGGGAGAGCTTGGAGGAGTGGAGGATGGAGCAAAAAATAAAAAGATTTCATGAACATGTACAACAGTGTAGTAATTGCAGGGGGTGGGGGATGGATGAAGGTGGAAGAAGGTATAGTGAGGATAAATGGTAGTAGAAAAAATAAAATAAAAAATGAACTATTAAAAAAAAAAAGGTTCATGTTGTGGCTGATGTGGCTCAGTTGAATGAGCCTTCATCACAAGAACCAAAAGGTCGCTGGTTTTATTCTGGATCAGATCACATGCCTGGGTTGCAGGTTTGGTCCCTTGAGTTATATACGGGGCAGGAGGGAAGCAACCAGTTCATGTTTCTCAAATCAATGTTTCTCGCCCTCTCTGCCTCATTTCCTTTCTAACATCAAAAATAAAATAAAAAATTCATGCAAAGTATTGAAATACTTTTAGAACTTAATACATGGAAGTTATAAAATTTTATGGTATCATATTCAAAATTCTAAAGATTATTTTTTTATTGTGAGTAGATGCTTAAATGCACTTTAATGTTTTCACAGTAAAGCAGTATAGATGGAAATAATTCTAAAATTTTTCTGGCTAAATATTGACTTTTTTCCTTAAACAAAACCAATAAAGGATTCCAGCGGGATGACACTGTTGATGCTGGCTGCAGCAGGAGGGCAGGATGACCTGCTGAGGCTCCTCATCAGAAAGGGAGCGAAAGTGAATGGCAGACAGAAGAATGGGACAACCGCACTCATTCATGCAGCCGAAAAGGTCGGTCATTTCATAGTCTTCATGAATTCCTGCCTTTGGACTAAGAATGTTTCAGTAGTGAAATAGAACAGTCATACAATCAACTTAAAAATTTTGTATTTCAGTTCATCTATGACTTGTCATGAATAGATTTTTTTTTATCAACAGTTGTACTCTGCAGTTGAATTTTCAAAATGATTATCTAGTTGGAACTGATTTATATTGAAAATGAACTTCTGATTAAGGTATTAAAGTCACTTTTAATCTTAGGTCTTCTTAAAAATCTTTTCCAGCTGAAAGTGAGTGAGTGTACCTCTTGGTTAATTTAATTAAAGTGTTCCCATATATATATCTTTCTAAAGGATTGCAATGCAGTGGTTCTTATGTAGAAAGCAGTGGTTAAACTTCAGATTGAAGTTGCTGGCACCTCTCAGCTCTTCCAGGACCCTGCACAGTAAAGAACCAGGGAACTCTGTTCGCCTCTCTGCTTGGGGTAGAATCTTTTTCATGATGGCTAAAAAGTTTCAGAACATCTAAAAATATCTTAGTTTTAAAGAATTTAGATATTCAAATTTGTTTTTCTTTTTTTTAATAGAATTTTTTAACTACAGTGGCTATTCTTTTGGAAGCAGGAGCTTTTGTAAATGTTCAGCAGAGCAATGGTGAGACTGCTTTAATGAAGGTAAATGCTGCACATGTTCACTTATCTCCCCCCATCTCACAGATGTGCATGTTGGGGCCTCCAACTGCCAGGCACTGCTGGGGGCTGGGGATATGATGGGGAACAAGGCAGTCTCGGCTGTCACATGACAAATGAGTGGGAGAAGTAGACTGTCAGAGAACCACTCAACATTTGGTGTAATGAGTGATGTTAGAGGAGTAAGCATGGAGCTAAGGAACTACATTAGAGCCCAGACCAGGCTCAGCCCTGTGGCTTCCAGACAGCCCTGTGTTATGTCGCTACACTGTGGCCGTGAAAGGGGCTGGACTGTGCAAGTGGGAACTGGAGTGGGCTATGCACAGAGCCTGAGGAATGGGGAAGTATAGGCTGTACTCTGGTTTTTATTAGTGAATGCATCTCTTTAGCTTCAGATTCCTTCCTATGTTAGGAATAGTGGTTTGCAAATAGGCTTTTTGTTTTGTTGGGTTTTTTTAAAGAGAAACAGGAAGGGGAGGTGGATAGAAACATCAGTTTGTTGCACATAACCATGCTTTCATTGGTTGATTCTTGTATGTGCCCTGACCCAGGGATCAAATCCACAACCTTGGTACATGAGGACAGTGCTTGGCCAGGTTAGCTACCTGGCCAGGGCCATGCAGGAAGATTTGAGTGAAAGGTTGTTAAAGCCTCCCCATGCATTCCTTTTTTATCCCTCCACGTTTAGTGGTTTTGCATTTGCATTTACAGGGGCAAATTTAGTGTGTTCTATCTAGCCTGTTCCTGGGGCAGTTTTAGGTCCCTGGCCTAAAGTGCTGTTAGAACATAGTTCCTGATGTCCAGCAGTGGTTTAGTCCCCTGAGTGGAGTCTGTGCTCTTCCTCCCCAGTTTTTTGAGCTGTTGAACTGAGCTGGCATTTGCCTGCAGTATATTTCAGCCGTCTTTCATGAGCCAGTAAGTGAGCCTGGCCACATCCAGGTTAACAGTGGACTCCAAGTCTATTCTCTAATCCATCATTCTAAAGGCATGGCCCGCCTGCCACTTCAGCCTCTTTCCAATCTTAGGGTTTAAACCTGGCTCACTGCTTGTTTGTTTCATTTGTGGCTCATGGAAATGTTTGTTTTGTTCAGGACCCCTACTTTTGCATGTCATTTTTCCATTATGTGTTTGAAATACTGCCATATGTTTAGAGCAGAGGTGATACAACTTTATCTTACTGAGAAGTCACCAGGTGGGTTCTAACAGAGTGGTCTTTGAAGTATGTCTTGGCGCTGGTCTGGATTTCTTAAATTCAGACTTGTCTGTGCTTATTAGTTTCCTTTAGAATAGCTACTAGGAAAATTCTGAAATTTTGTGATGCTAAGAGGTGCTGTAGATTCCCAAGACAGACCTCCCTAAGAGTGAGGCAAGCTTTCTCCTCTGGCTGACTCTGCTGAAGTATCAGCCAATAGGACAACAGGACATGGAAGGAGAGCAGAGCTAAAGGCCTGGTGTTTCTTCCAGACTGGGATAGAAGTAACTTTTTCCAAGTTGCTCATTTCCCAAGGAATCAGTCACAAAAAGAATTGAAGGTAGCACACAGATTTCTGTACTGGTCCCCTCCTGTTTGTGTAATTGTTTGGAACACTCAGGAGACCCAACTCCAGGTTTTTTCCAACCTTCTTTCCCTCTTCAAAAAGAACTCCCAGGTTGGCTCTTGTGTGGAGAAAGGGATAAACACTAGCTGTAGTTACTTATTTTACAGTTAAGTGATTATTACTTTTTTTTTTGGATGTAGGCCTGTAAAAGAGGAAATTCAGATATTGTGCGACTTGTCATTGAATGTGGAGCTGACTGTAATATTTTGTCAAAACACCAAAATAGTGCAATGCATTTTGCAAAGCAGTGTAACAACGTGTTGGTGTACGACTTGCTGAAGAATCATTTAGACACGTAAGTCTGCTATGACTGTGCCCTGGTTAAGTCACAGGACCAGGCACATCAAAACTGGACTGACCTGTATATAAATGTCCAGAAAAAGATTGTAAAGTGGAAGTCCTGATGGGCTTCTATCCTCAAAAGATCACAAATTTAAGTGGCATATGAATTATTTCTCTTCAAGTACTGAGGTCTTACGAATTTTTAAATTTAATACTGTCCTATCCAGGAGTATCTCCTTAAAATCTTGAATTTTAGTTCATTCTTGTTTTACTTAATGGACACAATTTTTAGAGCACTTTCAAGTTCACAGTGATGTTGATCAGAAAGTAGATTTTTCCATAGAGGACCCCTGCTCCCACACATGCACAGCCTCCCCTACCATCAAAATCCCTGACCAGACTGGTACAATTAATAAACCTACCTGGACAATTATCATCTGAAGTCCTTAGTTTAATGTCAGGGTTCACCTTGGTGATGTACGTTCCAAGGGTTTTTACAAATGTATAATGTCATGTAATAGCTTCATTGCCCTAAAAACTTCCTTGTGTTCTACCTATTCCATTTCTTCCTCCCCAATAATTTGCTGACAACCACTGATCTTTTTGTCATCTCCATAAAATTTGCATTTCCCAGAATGTTTTATGGTTGGAATCGATACAGTACATACATACATACATACATACATACATAGCCTTTGCTAAATAATCATTCCATTGTCAAGATGCACTTATTCATTCTTTTTCAAATACTATGTCATTTATTTTGATAACACATATCAAAGTATCACAAACAGTAGCTAACAAAAGTTAGGCACTTATTGTTCATATAATGGAGTATGGGGTAGGCAGCATTGGCCAGGAAGAGCTTCTTATCCTCAGGTACCATGCTTAGAATGTGACTTGGATTTTCATGTCTGCAAGAAAGCGGAAAATAAGGTAAATTTTTGACAAGCAAAAAAAAAAAAGCAGTGGTCAAAATAAAGGGATATGTCCCTAATGAATGTGCTCCCTTTAACAGTCTCACCCAAGCAATACCTTTCTTTAAAATCTTTACCCAAGGGTATGTTTATTGATTTCAGAGAGGGAGGAAGAGAAAAACATCAACTGGTTGCCTCCCATACATGTCCTAACTGGAGATAAAACCCACAACCTAGGTATGTGCCCTGGTATAAGAGGAGACCCACGACTTTTTGGTATATGGGATAATGTTCCAAGCAATAATTTGTGTGACTTGGACTAGCATTTGTGACTGCAAGGAATCCTGGGAAGCCAGCATATCTCAGTTTGTTCACATGGGTAATAAATTCAGATAGCCTACAAGTAGGGTGCCCAGTCTTCCTTGTTTGCATGAGACATAGGGATTCCTGCGATGTTGGACGTACCTCCTGAAACCAGGTAAGTTGTTTACTTTGCTGGTGAGATAGTTTAAAAATATTTTCTGCCCTTTTGTGGTCATCACTGAAGCACCAGCAGCCAAAACACATAGTTCAATTTATTACTTCTGACTGGAGCAAGAACTGTAAAAGATACTTCGATGCATCTTCCCACATTTGCAGGAAGATTATGTCTTCCCCTGTTTCCAGAGAACTGAGAAGTACAGTATTCGATTAATGGCCATCCCAAAGGATGGTGAAGTTCAGGTTGTGTGAGGACACTGTAAAAGACAGCAAATTGGCAGACCGGTCCAGGTTTACAGGAAGAGTTATTTCATTTACACTGAACGAGTGCAGCCTGTAGGAAAGCTAATGGTACAACTGTTTGTGTGGGCATTCACCCCAGGAAAGTAGTTCCCACGAGACTAAAGGTGAACAAACAGCAAAAAGATCCTTGCCAAATCTGGTCAAGTAGGAAAGAAAAAGGACAAATACAAAAAACAATTGAGAAGATGCTTATATACAACTTTTATTAAAAACTCTTAAAATGACAGGTGTGGCCCAGAGTGAGTTGGGTGTTGTCCAACAAAGTGAAAGGTCTCTGGTTCAATTCCTGGTCAGGGGATGCAGGCCACATCCCCAGTTGGGTGTACGAACAGCAGCCAGTCTTTCTCCCTTTCTCCCTTCCTTCCCCTCTCTCTAAAAATAAATAAAATCTTGTTTTAGAAAACTTTTAAAACAGAATTTCTGATTTAGCACTAATCATTTGCTTCCTAAACTAAGCACTGTTAAGTGTGTATGGCAGTTCTTAAACTTATTTTTAAAATACAATTCATGTTTTCATTTTTCCAAATTGATCATTTATTAAAAAGATAGTATTAAGCACAGTTTATGGGGCAGGCACTATGAGAGAGCAGCAGGGGAAGACTTGCCCTCTTGAAATCCGAATTCCTGGGAAAGGACACCGTAAGAAAGACAGATGGCACATTAGATGCTGAGTGCAGGCAAGCAGGATGAGGGGACTGGTGGTTTTTAAGGTTGACCTGGATTCAACAGTTAATAATTTTATGGCTCATGAATGTTTTGTTTTGCACTAACAACTTCCTACATATTTTTTTATTAGACTTTCAAGAGTGGCAGAAGAAACCATAAAGGATTACTTTGAAGCACGCCTTGCTTTGCTAGAACCAGTTTTTCCAATAGCATGTCATCGTCTCTGTGAGGGGCCAGATTTTTCAATGGATTTCAATTACAAACCCCCACAGAACATACCAGAAGGTAAGACTATGTTTTCTCTGAGTTTGAAATGTGACACTGTAACTATTGACCAATTTTTAGATAGAGCTCTGTTAAAAGCTCTAAGAAAATTCCATTAGTATCAACAATTATATAAAATACTTAATAACAGCTACTATGGCAGGAAAAAAGAGACCAGCTAGTACCTACCATCCTAGGTGACTTTGAGGGGTCAACAGAAGATGGTGTTAGGGCTTGTTTAAAAAGTGTGGAAGTTGGGGCTTAATAATTAAACTAGTTTTTATTTAAAATTTTAGATTCTGAACCCAAAATCAGTGGTTTTCATTAATTATTTTTATTGCTAATAGTCTTTTTGAAAAAAGGACAAAAGTCTGCCCTTTAATAGCAGGAGATACAAACTTCAGTTCTGCTTCCTTGCAGAACTTGCAGAACAAGGTGCTTGCAGGTAACATGACTGTGCCTTCTCCAGAAACAGATGCCACAAACTTTCAGAAAGCAGGGTCTGCCTGAAAGTAGGAAACTGGGCTCTGGCTGTTCTGTTTAAATAAATAAAACCCTGCCACCCATTAATAGTCTATATGAGGTCTGTCCAGAAGGTATCCAACCATGTACTATGAAAAAGAGACATGAAAGAAGATACAAGAAACATTGTACATGGGACAATGATGCCTATCATTGTCCTTCAAAGTAGGCACTTTGGAACCTCACACAGTTCTCCCAGTCACCATCAGCTGCCCCATCCTATTTTCCTGAATCTCACTGACAGTCTGAAATCTCTTCCCTTTCAAAGGTGATTTTAGTTTTGGAAAAAGCCAGAAGACACATGGCGCCAAATCTGGGCTTTAGGGGGACTGTGTCACCAGGGGGTTGGCTGTTTTATAGAAAACTCTGCACAAAACATGATGCATTGTCATGAGGAAGCTGCCAATCACTAGCTGTCCATACCTGTGGCATTCTGAATCATCTGAATAGTTTCCCCAGAGAAATGTTGAAAGTTAATGCCAAATTTGGTGCAGATTCCTTCTCTACTCCGTCATTTTGAACGAGACAGCCACATAGTACACACACACACTCAATGGCGCCTAACACCCCCATGGACTGGTACAGTGAAATCATCATCATTAATGCATGCACATTCCAGTGTACACTCTTTGGCTGCCAGGTTCTATCAGTATGGTGCAAACCTTTCTTGTTATATTAACAATGGCTGGACTTTATCTTGACAGACCTCGTGTATATATATTTTTAAAAATCTAGTCAATTAAAGACAGTAATTTTGGTGAACTTGGCACTGTAGAGTCATGATTTGTAATTTTGACTATGCATACAGTCATGTACAAGGTGTGTGCTCTTCCCCTCTAGACCCAGAAAAAATAAAGCAAGTGGTTCTTCATGGTCTTCAGGAGGAAGTCTCCTCTTTAAAGTTCCTGATTCGATTCCTAGTCAGGGCACATGACTGGGTTGCAGGCCAGGTCTCTATAGGTGGGGGCATATAATGTTTCTTTAACTCCTCTTTCTCCCTCCCTTCCCCTCTCTGAAAGTAAATTAAAAAAAAATTTTTTTTTTTAAAGAGCTCATGTAGCTATTTTGTTGTATTATTAAAAACTACAGCTTTTCTTCAAAATGAATCTTGCACAATATTTTGGACATTGAATGACATCTTCAATTCTCAACTTTCTTTCCAAAAATAAAAAAAAGAGACTTTTTGCTATTAATCACAAAATTTGGAAAAGGCAAAACAGTATGTGGAAGACAATGGAAAATCACTCAAACCCACACCCAAACACAACCACCAACAAAAGGTCCAGCAGTTTGTATTCATGGATATTTATGGATACAGCAAATGCCACCTTTAATATAGAAAAAAAATTCTAAAAAGCTGTTCAACGAGCTTATCAGTAGGAACTATTTGGATTAAAAAAGTCATAGTTTGGAAATTGAAGGTTGTCTCCACTGGGGAGGAAAAAGTGGGTAGGGCAAGTGCACAAAGGCTGGCTTGGGCACATCCATGTACCATATTGTGCTAGCCCCACCCACCACCCTCCTTTGGGGCTCTGGAAGGTGAAGTTTCAAGGATTGGGTTAAAATCTGTGTTTGCATCTCCCCTGCTCAGGCTCTGGCATCCTGCTGTTCATTTTCCATGCAAACTTTTTGGGTAAAGATGTTATTGCTCGGCTCTGTGGACCATGTAGTGTACAAGCTGTAGTTTTAAATGATAAATTTCAACTTCCTGTTTTTCTGGTAAGATTTTCTATAGTTCATTACTGAAAAGTACATTTTTCTAATTAAAAGATAACTTTAAAAATGCTGTTTTAATAAAATTTATTATAATTCAGTAAAGCTGTTGTTTGAAATGAGGCAGTAACCCATAATCATCCTAAATTTGTCAAAATCTTTCTAAATGTTTGGTAGCTGAACCTGAAATTGTTTATCATGTCTTAAAAATTAACATTCAAAATATAAATTCAATTTTAATTAAATATTATGCCTTTTCCCATCATTATGATTATAAACCACCATTCACTTAAAGGAAATTCAAAAAGAAAAGTATGCTTGGTCATGATATAATTTTGATTTGTATTATAAACTTTAAAAAATAAAAATGTAATAACTGATCTGTTAGTGGCTGCTATATACATTCCATGCACCAAAAGGTTGTCAGTTTGATCCTCAGTCAGGGTACATACCTAGGTTCCTGGTTTGATCCCAAATGGGGGCCTGTACAGGAGGCGATAGATAGATGTTTCTCTCTCTCTCTCACGCACACACATCAATGTTTCTCTCAAAAATCAATGGTAATGTGTCCTTGGGTGAGGATTTAAAAAAAAAAAAAAAAAGGCTCCTGAAGCACCTTCATGCATGATTGCTTGGCCACATTTACAACTTTTTCCTTAGGCTGAATTAATAAGCAAAATTAAGCAGTTATGAATATCTTCAACACTCAGGTTGTATATGACTGAATACATTCTAATCCTAAATATTTATTTGGATATTGTTTTATCATTTGTAGTTTTTTTAACATATCAAGAGAAAAGTAGCAAAGAAATTGCAGCTTATTGCCTCAAGAATTCAAATACGAAACTTGTGAAGTCCTAAAAGGTTCTAGACTCTTCAGATCACATGTACTGTTAAGTCTTGGCCTAAACATTTGTAGGTATAGAAGTTGAAACATATACTGACCCTTTTTTGGTCTCCTTCCCTAGGATAGTCATTTTGTTTATTCATTCAGCCCTGTTGCAGGCCTCAATAAACTCTTCATAAGGTTGACAGAGGCACCCTCTGCTAAGGTGAGAAGCCTTTGCTCATATTCAGTGTTCCTACTTGAATTGTTACTCTTGGTGACTTTTTAAATCATGTGGTTTCCAGGTATACCTGTCCTAGAGACCAGTGCTACCTCAGGTAGCAGTCAGTGCGAGGTGCCCCATCTTAATATATGTGTGTGTATATATATATTTTGCATCTCTATAGCATCCAGTTCTCTCTGGGTTGTCTTCTAGGCTTTGGTATTTAATTGCCATGTATGTCTCTAGGCTAGTCACTAACCTAAAAATGAGGCTGGTATCTGTGTAGTAGTGTATATTAAATATAATAAAAATTCAAGTTTATAATCACTTTGATTTTTTAATTAAAACAGTTATAACCTAACTAAACTGTTAACTAATTTGAGAATTTGGCAAATAAGAGGAACAAGACTTGGGCATGTGTATTCTTACCCTCTTCTAAGAAAGGAGAGCTACCTCTGTGCTGATTCCTATGCCTTGTTTTCTTTCTATAGGTAAAGCTGCTAATAGGTGCGTACAGAGTGCAGCTGCAATGACCAAACAATGAATCAGGATGGACTGGCTTTCAGACCTGTATATTTCTAAACACTCTCTTACAAGCAGTTTAGAATTCTTGGCACTGCTAACACTTCCAAATTTAAAATTTTATCTGTAATCCTCATGCAGTTTAAGTCTCTAAGATGGAACACGGTGTTCTAATATATCATAAAATACAGAAATGTGCATATTTTGTGCCAGTATTTTCTTAAGTCGGTGTTGTGTCCAAACTGCCTATTTCGGTTTTCCACAACGTGGAATGGTGCATAAAAGGGCTTAGAAAATTTCTAGCTTCAAATTCATTAATTTTTCACCCTTGAAGTTTGAGGGAAGAGAGCTGATCTATTTGTAATATGCAGTTGCCACACATTCCAAGTTGGAGATGACAACTTTGTATGTTTCCAGTTATCCTTTATTTGAAAAGATAAGAACCTAAGAAATAGAACAGTGTCCACAAAAACCTTGTGAGGTCTGAAACGGAATTACCCTTACTTTGAACACAGGGGAGGTCAGCAGAGCTTTGCCAGTAAGGCTCATGTGGGGTGGTTATTGTTCCTGTGGACTTTTCCCGTAGGTCCAACTTTGGTGTTCTTTTAAGAAACAGTTGGCTAATTAATAAACCAAGCTCAGTTTAGATTATAGAAATGTATAAAACTTAGTTCCTGATTAGTTTTATAATTGAGTTCTAATTTTAATGAAAAAATTTCAGAATATCATGTATTAGACCCACATATTATGTTTACAAATTAGAGAGCCATCTTTACATACTAATAAAACTGCCCTTTTTTACAATTTGCTCAATAAAACACCACAATGTTGGTCTTTCTGTTTTCTTTTGGTATTTACCTTGTTTTGAGATACAATGTGTACTTTTTAGCTAAATGGTGTTTGGGGTTGGACTCCTTCAACTAGATAGAATTTTGTGCTAGTACTGTATCCAATTTCATAGCTTCCTAGAAAAAAGTTACGAGATTTTTGTTAGCAACAATGCATAGATCAGGAGTGGGACAGCAGTACATGTAAGCGAAATGGGCTTTTTAAGAAAATTTCCATTGTGTCCAAATTCTACCTAAAATAATCCTGCAACTTTATGAGAACATATTAAATGAGCTTACACTATTTATCAGGAGGCATGGCTATCTAGGGCAGAAAGTAAGTAGTGAATCTTAGCATAGTTCCTTTAGGAGTTGAGGCTGAGAAATAAGAAAGCTGTGAAAAGTCAGCAAGGGGAAGATGGGCAAGTTATTCTGACTGAACTAGGGAACTTAAAGTTTGAGATCACTATACCTTGTCTGTGTCAGCTTTTACCCACCCTGTGCCAGGCATGCTAGTAAACCATGTAAGCAGTGTGTCTATTAGGATTATGTGTAGAGCCACACAATTTAATACAGTTGTTCTGCTCAGAACTATAGCTTTCTCTATAGCAGGTAAAAAACCTACTTGTCCCTGAGTGGGAAATGCTGAAAGTTCTGGCTTCTTATATGTGCAAAGTGTGGACAGTGATTTCTCTGGAAATCAAAGCAATCTCCTTGTATAAAATGTGTATGATACAGAACACATACTTGAGCTTATCATCTTGGCCATTAAGCTGGTCATCCCAAATGGGAGGCATTATATTTTGGTTAGAGTCCCTGAAACACAGTACACAGCTTTTTGCTTTCATTTTATTTTGTAAAAGAAAAAGAAAAATCACTCCTCAGCCATTACGCCTTTCCAGTATATAATACCTGAGAACACATACTCAAGTTAATTCAGTTAGATCAACTTCCTAACCACACCATTCAGATCTGGTCTACTCTTGAGTGTAGCTATAAACAGCACATTACATTCTTTTGTTTGCAAAACCTTGTACCAAAGAGAGTACCTAATAACACTAAATGATACAATTAGATGGCGGGTTTGATTTCAGTCTAGGACTGAAATTACTCAATTTCGCACAATATCTTCACAAATGATTTCCATCTGAATTCTAAATTTGCAGAATTTATTCAGAAGAATGTCAGGAGGTAGCAATTTGAAACTCGGGTGCTGCTTTTAAAATTCTACTTAGTCTTAAGAATCATAGGAGAACTCACCTATGAAAGGGCCTCAGAAAGCATTCACCGTGAAAGTCCAGTCTGAGTAAAACCTGGGAGAAACAGAAAAGTGAAAGGAGACTGCTTAGCACAGAGCAGAGAAGCAGAACATACAAGATGGGACAAAAGTGGGTTTATCACTAGTGGTTCATAGTGGAAATAATACAATAAATAACAACTAGTAATAGAAGAGTAAACTCACAACTGAAACCTACTTTTACCCAGGCCTGTATATACCAGAATAGCAGAGTGACTTAGGAAATGAGAACTTTGAGAATTTTTATTTTCATAGTTAATATTTCATAGCATAATACTGGTAAAACCCTGAAATTAAAGTTCTGAAACTTTAAACTTTGTTCAGTTTAGAGGACAGCTGATGGAATCCACCCTGCTTCCTCCATCCTGTGCTGACCTGAAGATAAAATACACCTTTCCCACCCACTCTGGGATCTCTAGGCCTGGCTTTTTCCCTCTCCATACAGTAAGTTGCAAATTGTAACAACAGTGAGGGTTCACAATTCAGTCAGGAACAAACTAAAACAAAATTGGGAAATAGTTATCGGTCCATAAACTCAGAGCTCCCACAGGACCCCCAGTTGGAATTTGAACCTAACATCTGGCATCATTTCAACATGTAAGAATATAATTTCCATTACTCTGCAACATATTATCTCTGCCTTACTCATATGGCCCATTATTTACTTTCCTTGGGCCAAGATGTATGCTTTGTAATAAAAATATGATTTTTCTCACACCTGTGCCAAGTTTCGTGAATGGTTCCTTATCTTGGGGATTGACCCAAAACTGGAGGTTTTGTGGAGTGGTAAAAAGTCCCTCCAGTGGTTCACTCTGTATTTGTGGGCTGCTACACTAATACTTTAACCAGCAAGACCACACAAAAAATAAGTTTGCACTATTCCAGGTATCTTTTACCATAGAAAATGTGTCCATGAGGCCTAATTTTTAAATGTCATGTTATTGCTCATATACCCATACATTGCTTACATGGAGTAATAAACTCACAAATGAAATACAGTTGGTTTCCTGGCTTTTTTCCTCCCATGTCATGACAAGCATTTCATTATATAGAAAATAATCTGAGTTACAGTCACTGAGCAGCAGGTCTGAAAGTATTCATAAACTGACAATCTATTTGAACTATAAAGTATTCTCCAGTAATTCACTTCTAGAACAGGCATTTTGTTGTGAGCTTAGAGATTAAGTGCCTGAAGGGGTAACACATTAGTACTTAAAAGCAGTGGTACCCTAACCAGAGCCACCCCACCTGGGTAGAAATTTCAGGCAGAAATCCCATGCAGGCCAGCAGGGGTCTGCTGTCACAAGCCCGCCCCCATGGGCCTATGCTGCACCTCCAAATGTGAGAACTGTTTCAAAGGACCACCTGAAAATGCAGTCAAATTTTTTTAATAAGATTTTTGAAGGAAAATTGTGTCATGTCACTTCCTCTATGAGAATTCCATCTGTATTTGGTGTTTTATTAATATTCACAAAGTTAATAAAATTTAATATCTTCCTGGAACAAACATATCTTTTCACTGACTAGCAAATAAAAATGTATAATAAAAAGCAGTTACTGCAAATTACCAGTATTTTTTTTTTAACCAAAATTAACTTCGAAATCCTAAAGCTCCAATAACATTCACTTGACAAGCTGACAAGCTCTCTTTGATGACCACCCAATACCAGGGCTTTGGACTGTGGCACAATTAGATTTTTTTTCCCCCCCTGTACTCATAGGTTAGTGGTTCTCTAGTAGAAACCAGATTTATTAGAGGGCTTTAAAAAAAAAAACATTGCCAGATCCTACCTGAAGAGTTTGTTTAGTAGAGCAAGAGTAGACCTGAGAATGGGCATTGTTAACAAGTTCTCAGGTGCTAATACACTAGGAAGTAGCTTTGAGAATCACTGCCTAATGTTAATTTCCTAGAACTGGACAATAGTATGGAAAACTGCTGTCACATTTCAGGGCTGCATGAGGTGTCAGATACTTTAAAAAGGTCAAACTTTTCTCAAGGGTAAAGTATGCATACATCAGTGCTCCTCAGTTGCATGCCAATCCCCTGGGTCTTGTTGAAACAGGTGGTCTGATTCAGTTGGTCTGCTTTGTGTCCTGGGGTTCTACACTTCTGAGAAGTTCAGGTGTGCTCTCACTCCTGGTCCAGAGGCCACACCTGTAGTAGTAAGAAGAGAATGGACTTTGTCATCACCAAATAAAGAATACACTTAATACTCTCTGGATCTATCAGGAGAACAATACATCATCCAAATTCTGTCAAAAAGATTACAGAATGTAAATGTTACCAAAACATTTTGTGTCTAAGCAGAATAATACAAATATTGTTATCCTCTACAAAGGCTGGAAAACAGTAAGGGAAAAATTGACCTACTATCCCCCAGCACCAATCAGATTTTATGATATTAAACTCTTTTAAGATTACAGTCTCTCCAAATGAACCTAAGACTAAAATTGTAGGTTTCAGATCACTAAATTTAAAAGGGAATATCTTTTTCCTTTAGTAAATAATAATTTAATGTCAATTCTATTCTCAGTACAGTTTTACCTAAAGACAAATCAAGACACATTACTACCAGTAAGGAAAGACAGGGGCAATTTAGATCTAAAAATAACCTCTAACCTTGTTCAAAGTGAATGTTCATCACTAAGTCAACAGTCAACCCCAGGAAAAATGACTAAAGAAAGAGAGGAGGAGCCCTAGCTGGCATAGCTCAGTGAACAGAGTGCTGTGAAATAAAAGGTCATCAGTTCAATTCCCAGTCAGGGCACATGCCCAGGTTGCAGGCCAGGTTCCCAGTTGGGGGCATGTTGAGAGGCAACCAATCACTATGTCTCACACATATCAATGTTTTCTTCTCCCTCCCTTCCCCTCTCTAAAAAATAAAATCTTAAAGAAGGAAGAAAAGGATAAGCCATTACAACACACATCCACCTGAAAGGAAACATGTCCTCATCTCTAAACTTCATTCGTGCGGGAAGTCAAATTTCAGGTAGCTTCAGCCATATGTTCTTTTATCCTCCTAGGATATAATAAAACCAGATTTAGCTTTTTATAGACTAGTTACAGTAACCAACAATTTCTAAAAGGTATTAACAGTAATCATTTTCCATTAGGATGCCATTTAAAGTCTTTACCACATTTGGTTATTTCCATTCACTAAGATTTTCCTTTAATCCATTTCATCAAAGGACCATCAAATGACTTAAAATTCAGCTTGCTTTTATGTTTTGGCATTAAGCAATGTTAAGTCCTAAACACTAAATATTCTCTGCTAATTTTAAAATACTGGTTCTATATTGTCAAATCCTTTTTTATTTCCATAGGTAGGTTCTCTTGAAAGCTTAGAGCCTTATAATCCAAAATCCTACACAGGATCCTCATTTCCTACTGTATCTATAAAATTATACTTGTACCGAGGCAAGGGCACACAAATGTCTGCTGTGTTCCACCAGAAAGACTCTTACCTACCCTACTAATAGCTTGGAACACTTTTTCTAAAAGAGTTTGCACTCCAGATTTTTGATTGGGGCACAGCTTTGTTTTTCTTACAAAATGTGTCATATACCTGAAATATTAGTACAATTACAATTTACAATTTAGACATACACAGATTTGTGCTCAATATTTTTTAAGTGTTAGGGATACATGACCCCAAAATAATGAAAATTACTACCGTAGATTAGTATTGTTTTCAAAACCCTGTTGGATCTCAACTTCACCTGAGGATTGGAAGAAGTATGACCATCCCCCAAAACTATGAATGCAAAAATATGTATACAAAATTCTTCATGTAGTTTAAGAAGATACATAGGTTAATACAAACTGATGATCCAGTAGGACCCAAGGCTCCAGACATAAAACCTTAAATATTATTTCAAATAAGACATAACAAAAACATCTTTTATGTATTTCTACCTGCAGCTAGCGTTCTACTGCGTGTAATACTTGTTAGGTATCTGTTCTTAAGTCATTTGCATTTTAACTTGGTGTCTACTATATACATTCTGCCTTTAGTGAAGTTAAGTCTGAGAAGTATAAATTGAACCATCAACCAAACTGAACTGGATCACTTAATTCTTAATGATACAAGGGCTACTAGAATTTTTAAGTCTTAACTTTCCACAAGAGTGAACATGCATTTTACATAGCATTAAATATACTGATTTACACAATTTAGCCAAGTTCTACTTGACAATATTTAGACTTTAAAAGGGGGACTTATCTCAATACTTGAATTGTGTTCAAAGTCAATTATAAGTAATTGACCAGGGTAACTATACACTGCAACATAATCAACACTAATGAGGCATCATGGGGAGATCCTGCACATGTGCATCCATTCAGTGATACTGGTAATACGTATT